AAGAGGAAGTGCAAGTCTGTATACACAGTTTCCATCTACATTTAGAAGTGGTAGTATAGATTTAATAGCCCCAAGAATTCCCATTTAAAATATTAAACAAAGCTTCCACAACTGCAATTTTGGGGACTGTAGTCACATATAAATGTTTATATATGATTACATATTTTAAAAATCTTAAAAGTGTAACAAAGTGCTTCTTATTGTCAGTTGTTTTAATTGTCTAGGTTGGCACTGAATAAGCATGAGCATAGTTATTTCAGTTTGTTTAAAAACTACTGAAAAATGTAAATAACCATTGATCTTAGAATAAATAGCTGAATGTGGCATTTGCTTTTGTTTTAAATAGCTTAAGTGAGAGGAAGAACAGCACAACATTAAAAGCACAATCTATCTTATTGCATGGTTCTTTTGCAGTGACTTTTTAAAAACATTGCTCTTATTCCAAAAGGTAACAAGAAGCTGCATTTGGCTAGTTTGATCAGTGAAATGAGAGGCAAGAGAGAATATTTGCATTTAAAATTGCTCTTTAATCTGGCTGTCCTAGACCCAGGAGCTGTACTAGCTTCACAGTGCCATGATAGACTGGCCTATTTCTTGCAAACAAATGATGTATTTCTTTGTAAATGCAAGAAACTCATCTAAGCATTCATACTAAGATTAGTGGCTTTCTGTTAAAAAGTTTCCTTTCTTATCCAGGAGTAAAAATGCAAGTGGAGGTAAAATATAAAAGCAATGTGTATTTTAGTCACAAACATATTCTGTTTTGGTAACTCTTTGCATCTGATCTAAGGGAACAAGTGATAAGTCACTTCAAGACCCACATTAGACCCCTTAGCTCTTAAAAAAAAAGTAAAAAAAAAAAAAATCCACTGCATAGCTCATTAGTAGCTTCTGATTCAGAAGGAACAAATACAGATACAGAGTCAAATGCCGTCCAAAACAGGATCTGAAAGCAACAGTATTTTTGGCTTAGATATCGGTTAAGCACCCTTCAAATATTTAGCTTTAATCCTGAGTGGAAGAGTCTGGATGCACTGATTAAAATACACTGTGTGGAACACTGGCTTTGCCCAGAAAAGTTGTCCCATTCCCACAAGTTGTTGAAGTCCAGGTTGGATGGGGCTTTGAGCAACCTGGTCTAGTGAAAAGGCAACCCTGTCCATGGCAGCAGAGTTGGAACTAGATTATCTGGTAGGTATCTTGCAACCCAAACAGTCCTATGATTCTATGATTCCATTACTTATTGCCTCAATAGCAGAAGACCTACTCAAGTACTCCCCATTTCTGTATAAATCATGAATCTCAACCTGCCATGCCTTTTGCCTGTTTTGAAAGTCGCCAAGACCTGAGCCTTTAAAAATGCTCAGTCTTCTCAAGAGAAGACTGTTAAGTCTCTCCCCAGTCTGTAACGATGATACCAGTGTAAACTTTCCTTACTGTATTTGAGCAGATGTCCAGCCAAATCACAGAATCATAAAATGGGTCAGGCTGAAAGGGACTAAATGGATCATTTAGCCTCTCTGGTCAAGTGGGGTCATCCTAGAGCACATGGCACAAGATTATGTCCAGATGGTTCTTGAATATCTGCAGTGAGGGAAACTCCACAACGTCTCTGGGCAATCCGCTCCAGCGCATTGTCATCTGCCAAAGCAGAGAAGCTTGTGGAGGACTGTCTCCCTTGAGAGGGATCTCAGGCTGGAGCAGGGGAAGGACTCTTCTCCCTGAGCAGTGGCAGGAACAATGTGTGATGAATTGACCATAAACCCCATTCCCTGTCTCCCTGTGCTGCAGTGGTGGGTGGAGGAGATAGAGCTTGGGACAGAGGGAGGGGGGGGGGAAAGATGGTTTTAAGACTTATTTTACTTCTTGTTATCCTCCTCTGACTTTGTTGGTAATAAATTCAAGTAATATTCCCAAGCTGAGTCTGTTTTGCCCGTGACAGTCATCAGTGAGTGACCTTTCCCAGTCCTTAACTCACGAACTTTAAGTTATATTTTCTCTCCCCTGCCCACATGTGGAGGAGAGTGATAGAGTAGCTTTGGTGGGTGCCTGAGATCCAGCCAGGTTCAACCCACTATAATTGTCTTGTCTCAGCCCATGAGTTTTCTCACTTTTACACTTCTGATTCTCTCTCTGATCCCACTGGGGGCAGTAAGCAACTGTGTGGGGCTTAGTTTTTAGCTGGGGTTAAAGCACAACACCAGGTCCCAATCCAGGACCACCTCTCTTGATCCAAGAAGCTGCACATTTGCTGTCACTTACGCTCTCCATCCAAATTCACACCAGTGAACTGTAAAATGATGAAGGGTCACATAGTAACTGGGTTTTCCCTCTTACATAAATCTTCTAATGTCAGTACCTGATTACCTTCCTGTGGGTAATCTTTTGAAGTTCCTCTAAGATACTCTCTAGGCTACACACAATAAAAAGCAAGTTTCAAAGACAATTAAAGAAAAAGGCGTGAGGAGTGTCACTCCCCCTTTCCCTCTCTAGCCCTCTTCTTTTCTGAAAGTTGTTCCAAATAATTTTCTCTCTGGTTAGGTTTGACATTCAAAATGTTGAACATTAATATATTCACCACAATGACAGGACTTTACTTTTCGTTAGACATTTGCTTTTACGGACTCTCAGAAAGGCCTCAGGAAACCTCACAGTATTTATATATTCGATAATCTAAACTTTTAATGGTTATCCCAACCAATTTGAACAGTTAGATGTTTCAAGGTCAAACAGCCAATACAATATCTGATTAGTAGTGCTCAGCAAGTAGATAAAGATTTCTTTTCAGGAAGTGCTGTTCAAACATTTAAAAAAAAATTGCTGTAGCCATTCTATTTTATTTCTTGAGTTCACTTTCAGCTCCACATTTAAATGACTATATTTCAATAGAGCAAAGAAAAATTAAGAATATGGATACTCACAGTCAATGACATAGCATTCATGTGTACAATTAATCAAACGCATATATTAAGCAAAAACTGGTGTGAAATACTGTAGTCAAAAACTAAAAACATAAACACATAAAGAAATTGTAATGCACTTGAGGGTTGCCTAGAAGCAGAATACAAAGTAAATTGGATAAATTATTCATTACAAATTGGTTTTTCAACTGTAGGATTAAGTGTGAAAGAACAACAATTACACACGACATTTGCTGCTGGTCAACAAATAGATCCACTTGCTTTTAGTATCCAGTCAGATATATGATTTATTATATGGTTTATTTGTGAAGAAAAACTGTGTTGATTACTTCTTGCAAAAATAAAAATATTTTCTCCTAAAACATCACTTACAAATCATTTTTAGATATATGACCATGAACTTTTCCTTGTACCTGCACAGCATCAGTTTTAGTTATCATCTCAGTCCATAAGATACCAAACTGACTTAGATTGCATTTAAAAACTTTTATAAAATGACAAGAGATTTTCATTGCAAACTTGTGCATGATAGCAGTTTCATATATTCTTAGCCTTAGAATATAGATGTTAAAAGGACACAGGAGATTAAAGGATCTCCAAAACATGTGAATTTGTCTTATATGTATGTGTTTCGCTGCTATCTAAGCAGGGGGAATAGAAATACAAACACATTTGTTTGTTTTTATTGGACTAATGTATTATAAACTCAAATGACTCTTTTAATTGTGTGTGTAGTTTGCACTTCTAAGAATGTTAGCATTTCAAAACAATATCGAACTGGCTGAGTGTCTTCCTAACCTTGATAATCCAGCTGCCTTAATTTTTCCTCTTGCTTTCCATATATACTTTTCCAGGAAAAGTGTAAGCAATGTTGCCTAAAAACTGTTTAATACTCTAGGACATTTATTAATATTGTAAATGAAAAAAAGTCTCAATTTATAAACTTAATCTTACATTACAAGGGTTCTGTTTTGACACTTTTCTCTCATGGATGAGAAAAAGATGCCTATCTGCACAGAAAGGAAGGTCTCATACATTTTGATACTAAGAGATAATAATATACTGCCTATTAAGGAAGGGTATACTTTTGAAATTCTTTTTCTTAGCAGGACTTTCACCTAATTTAATGATGGAAACCGTGTTGAGGTAAATAATACCAGAGTGACTTTTTCCCCACTCCTTTTTTTTGCTGCTCTTGATGAGTTGTGAACCTTGGCATCAACAGAATGTTCATCCCTGTTTTGAAATGACCATGATCTAATCTCTATGCTACAAATACACATGGTTGAGTAAAGATTTAACAGCAAAGATTAATTTCGGTTTCATTTTCCTTTCTTTTGTACTAGGAAAACCATTAATTGAATAAAATTGTGTCTTCTAGTGATAGGAATAGGTGGGATGTTAATCTTACTGTTGGACTTGACATAGCTGGAAAAAATTCAGACATCCTATTGGACAGTACTTTCTCCTCTATTTGGATAACCGTTGTTATGGTGATAGTTACAGGTAAAAGCATTAATGAGGATGACTTGAAAGCTTTGATGTGTAAGTCACAATTATTTTTAACAACTTATGAGATACGGTAACAGCTAGTACTGCTCCTTGCTAAAGAGGCATCATTGTATCAGCTTTCATGAAAATTATCTGAATTTCTATTTGTTGTGTTTCTGTAATGCAATGTTGAATACAAATATGTAATAAAAAGGATTTGGAAGAACATCCCACCCCCATTTTCTCACAAAGGATATAATCTGTTATTCCTAGGAACTTGCTTACAGTAACAACTGACTTTTAGTATAAAATATAAATTTTAAAATACCTGTATTGCTCTTTTGTGACACCCTGAGAACTACCCAGTATGATTTCTTGTCTCCAAAACTAAGCTGTAAACAAATCTACAAACCCACATCGCCAAGCAGAAGATTGCAGACACATTGCATTGCCCAGGCTGTTGTAAAACTTCAAGGGGTAAGCACTACAGACAGAGGAATTATTGCCTGAAGTATTTAATCTCAGCAGTACTTGATGTTCATCACAGAGCTTGGCTCACACCCGTTCTGAATGAACGCAGTTACTTACATAGTCCTCGTAGGCCTCGTGTGCAGGTGGCGGGGGTGGTCTGTAACCCGGGACAGACGGGGCACCCCTGGCTCGAGGGGTGGGAACACCCCTTGCCACTGGTGGCACAGGGAGGGCTCCACGGGTCACTGGCGCTCCTCTGGGTGCTTGGGCACCTCGTCCAGGCAGGGGTGGAGGAATCGCACCCCCACGACCCCTGTGGAGAGCAAACAGGAATGATCACTTTGGCATGCACGGCAAGAGAGGACACGGCCATGCTAACCCATTTTAAAGGCTCTTATATTTGTACTACTATTTAAAGCATCATATAACTGCAGGATTACAACTACAACTACAATGTCAAGCACTTTCAGGTGATATCTTGGGCAGAACTTCTATTATGGAAAGGCATTATTTTTAAGCCACCCAGTGCCTTTTATACCTGATCCTCTTGTTGCTTGTACTAATGAAATTCTGAATCACTCTAATTCACAGAGTTGCAGAATTGCACTAAAGTAGTTCTAGAGAATGAAGAAAATGAGAAACTTTTTCTGTTGCTCTCAAATTATTTTACAAGAGCAGCCATCACTCATTCTCATGTTTATTAGTGGGTGGGAGAAACAGATTGGCAGAAGATGTTACAGGACGGCAGAAACTTGCAAGGCAAAGTAGAGGAAGACTATAAAAGGAGAGCAGTAACTTTCCTTTGTATCTAACTTAGTTTAGCACAAAGGAAGGGTAGCATGAGATTCTGCTTTTCCCCACTGCACAGAGAGAATAGAGCATATAAACAAGCAGAGAAATAGGTTTATCATCTTTCTGGCTATTTATGCTATATCTGCCTCACTGTACTAATTAGTAAGTCAGAAGAAGCTGTTACTGTTTAAGAAAAAGTTCTTGCAACTATACCATAAAATGAATTAGAAGTGGACTATATCTGGGAAGCAGTCTGTGGGTTTTGTTTCAGAGCAGCATGGTCCCCAACGTGCTGCCCTTTCTGAAGACCAGGAGTGCCAGATATAGCTGTGCGTGACGCCCAGATCCAGAGCTGTGGCTTGTTCCCTACTGAGACAACCAAATGCACAGCACTAGCTTGTGATGTTCACTGCTTTATGACAAGTTTCAGTAGCCAGTTTTAGACTTACACAATCACTGAATGTTTTGGGTTGGAAGGGACCTTCAGAGATCCTCCAGTCTAAATGCCCTGTCCCTTGGGCAGGGACATCTTTCACTGGGTCTAACTGTGCAAAGATGTGTCCAACTTGACCTTGAACATTTCCAGTGATGGGGCATCTACAACTTCGGGAAATTTGTTCCAGTGTTTCACCACTCTCATTGAAAACAATCTTTTTCCCTCTTTCAGTTTAAGATTCATAAAAAAGCCACTCTCTGTCTTATAAGCCCTCTTTACATATATGGAATGGCTGTAATGAGGTGTCCCCAGGCCCTTCTCTTCAACATGCTGAACAACCCCAGCTTTCCCAGTCTGACTTCATAGGAGAGGCACTCCAGCCCTCTTGATGATTTCTGAGGCTCTCCTCTGGACCTGCTTCAACATGTCCATGCCTTTATTGTACTGAGGACCCCAGAGGTGGATGCAGGACTCCAGGTGGGGTCTCACAAGGGCAGAGTAGAAGGCAGAATCACCACCCTCGACCTGCTGGACATGCTGTTTTTGATGCAGCCCAGGATATGTTTGGCCTTCTAGGATGCGAGTGCACATTGCTGGATCTTGTCCAGTTTTTCACCTTCCAATATCCCCAAGTCCTTCTCTGCAGGGCTGCTCCCAATCCCTTCACTCCCCAGTCTATGCTGACACTGGTGAGTACCCACATGCAGGACCTTGCACTTGGCCATGATGAACTTTATGAGGTTCACCCAGGCCCATGTCTCAAACCTGTATCAGTCCCTCTGGACTATATCCTTCCCTCAATCAACTTAAAATACTTCAGGTGAAATTTTTTTTTTTTAGTATTCCCCTGAGATTTTTGAATGGAAAATAGAGAAAGTACCTAACATCATAAGATCTGTGCAACTGATTCAATCAGTAGGGTATTTTGCAGGAATTGGGGGCCAGCACTCCACTGATTATCCTTTGAACATAATTTAAAAGCTGCCAGTTTGTTGCAGTGATGTGCTGAACATCGTTATTAAGTTCCAGAGATCTTAGCTGTAAGGAAGACTGAGCCCAAAAAGACTTTGAGTGGAAGATGATCATGAACAGCAACTGTAAAAATTTCTATGCATGTGCATCATACTGATAAAAAAATCCATCCAGGAAGAAATGACAGAAAACATGGCAGACATCTTCAGGAAAAATAAAAACAAACACCAAGGTCATAGGCCTGTTCAATTCCCAAAGAACTCCTACGTCAGCATAACATAGGGTACTTTCATATCCTATTTCCTCCAAAATAAAAGTCAAGTTTTTAGGACACATCCTGAAAATACCTCTATGGAGAGAAGACTAGAAGTTGCTAGGTAACTCAGATGCCCAAGGCAACAAATTTCTTAAGGATTCATGGTAAAAAGTAAGTCTGAAAGAGTGCATTTATATTTTACACTGGCTTTATGAACAAGCAGAGATATGTTACCTAGATATGAAAAAATACTTGAAAGAATCCAGAAAACATTCATATACCAATGTTTTTAGATTATGCCAATCATACTCTTGTAAAACTGATAACCCATCAACAACTATGTAATATAATATATATAATTATATATATATTATATATATGTATTATATATAATGTATATTATATTAATATGTATAAAAAGGTAATTATTTGGCTAATAAAGTTCCATTCAAATTATGTAGTCTTCTTAGACTACACTATTTTTTGGCCAATGACTTTACGCTACTGACCATACTGGTACTTTGCTAGCATAACAATATCCTTTCCTAGAAATATCCTCTCCTTGGCTTTATAATCTGCTCTCATTTGTTGTTTATTACTTATATACCATCCACTGTAGCCTGTGAACTGTAGACCAGAGAACCCGGAACAATACAGACCACACAAGCTATCAAAAGACAAAATTTCAGTTTACTGACCAGCATGTGTATGTGATTTCCTTTTCTTTTTTTTCTTTTTTTTTTAAACTATGGTTTTTTTACTATTGCTTACAGTTTCTAAAGCTATTAGCATAATAGCTCAGGTTACCACACCTTGAAGGAGCTGCAGGTGGCACACGGATCCCTCTTCCTCGAATACCCCGTCCACGTGATGAGTCCTCAGAACCATTCAAATATGACAGTTCTCTCAGCTGCTCCTGGCGAATTTCATCATTATAATCCTGAAATGCAAAAGGTGAAACTTGCTGAAACTTTGTATTTTGGCTGACCTGACAAACCACTCAAACCAGAAATTCCATCATGGTATTTGGGTGACTTGTTCTGCATCATCATTGGTATGCTGAAAAATTGTACAGAGGGAGTAGACAACTACCTACAGTAAGTGGACAGAAAAATGTGGACACTATGGGTAGTGAAGGTGGTCATAAAGAGCATGAACATGCAAAATAAAACACACAAGGCAAAGAACACATAAACAGAAATAAATATATCTATATGCAAAATGTAAATGGACTTTCACATAAAAAAAGGTACTAATCTCAAAAAGCTTGTAAATTAGACAAAAAAAATCATTTTATAAAATATAATTCTGTATTTTTGACAATTTTTCCTGGCTATCTTTATGCACTTAAACCACAAATTCTACCTTATACTGCACCTTAGCATAACTGGATGATTTAATTCAATACCAATTAGAATCACTGAATGTACCCTTCAGCTCCTGAAAGGAACTCTCTCTTTACGACTCAAGTTATTAAATGAAATAAAATAGACCCAATCTAAGCCAGTAGGGTATCAACTCCAGCACTGTCATTTCTGTTGGCTCAGTAAATATCAGATGAACTTACTTTTCTTACTGATACAGAATAGAATCACAGACTCATGGAATGGTTTGGGTTGGAAGGAACCTTAAAGCTCTAATTCCAACCTCCCTGACATGGACACCTGTGGGAAAAATCCCTTACTCAGCACCATTTTTCACAAATGAATTCAAGCGGGACAGACTTTTGTCCAGGAAGAATTCTCTTGTAACTTGATTACTCCTTACCTATATACAGACTCTCTATTGACTCTGGGTCCGAGCTATCCAGTCAGGAAGATATTACTTATCTGCACACACACCATACAGCCACTCCTGTGGCTGCCTTCAGCCACAAAGAACAATCATGCTTCAAACTGCTTTCCAGCTGCACCTTGCCATTCTTTTCCCACACACACTAATGTTAGCTCTGGCTCGCTCAGGACCACAATATTTTTGCTTTAATATTTTCTTCCTCTTCTGTCATCCAGACAGCTGGTGTTGTCTTGTTTAGCTGCTCCTACAGACACCTTGTTGACTTCCTCTTCGTTGGAATGCATGTTTGTAAGAGGTGATCCTTGAATATTAATTAGCTCTCTTGGGCCCCTGTCCCTCCAGGCCTCTATCCCACCAAGTAGCTCCTTGAAGAGGCCAAACTCTGCTCATCTCAAGTCCAAGCATCCTCCTTGCTGCCCTAAGGATCTTGAACTCTACTGTTTCATGGTCACTGCAGCCAAGACTGTCTTGGAGCTTCACATTCCCCACCAGCCCCTCCTTGATGTTGAGGTCAAGGTCCAGCACAGCATCTCTCCCCAGCGGCCCCTCCAGTACTTGGAAAAGGAAGCTATCCTCATTGCATTCTAGGAACCCATGTGCCCTGCCTGTTGTCCCTCCAACAGATATCAGGGAGTTTGAAGTCCCCCATAAGCACCAGGGCTTCTGAACGAGAAGCTGTTCCTTTCTCTCTATGGAGGGTTTCATCCACTATAATACATAACAACCAATTTTTACTTATTTTACAACCTTTGTCTCAGTCAGAAGTTCCTTTCTCTTTAGCTTCCTTCCTTTCTATTCACCTCTTTGCAGGTTGATCACAGTACTAAGAGTCCACTGCAGTAGCCAGCTTGCTGGCAGCATAACCACATGACATATAATTGTTGCTTCAAAACAGAATGAATTTTAGCCCTTCAGTCCTCCCATCCTTCCACAGGCAAGTGCCATTTGCTGTCATGCAAGGCTCTGAAAATGCTACTTCTTGGGTGAGTGACCATCCAGGGCACGTTACAAGTGACACCTCTTTTAGCCAAGTTAAAAACCAAGCCAACAGTGTGATGGAACTGTGGCCTTGCTTGTTCCCTTCTAGGGAGTGTAACTGGAGCAAAAATTATTAATGAAATTCAGAAAAGAGTCCCATTTATACAATATAGCATGTGATAATTGCAGCATAACCATAATTAAAACCTATCCCTAATTTGCCAATAAAGTACATCATGGTTTTCGGTTCAGCACCATCCCCAAATCTTTTTACTCTATTTTCTATCATTCTAACACTAATGGCAATAAGTCAAAGACACCTTCCTAAGCCAATGGGCTCTGTAAAACACAGAGGGAAAAACACAGATAGAATAAATAAATAAATTTGCAGAATTGTTGGATCAGGTACTATCTACTGTGCCCTGTTTAATATCATCTGTTATTCACATTGGGTTTCCAAGGATTAGGACTTCAAACTTGCTGTTTGAGTTTACCTTTCAGATTCCACACCAGTGCTGGGACTGAATTTCATTAATAATCCAAGTACATTTTGATTGAGAAAGAAGTAGGCAGAAAAAAAAAAAGAGAGAGAGAGAGAGAAAGGACCTGCAAGGGACAGAAACTGAAGTTTCTGTGTTGCTGTGCTAACTTCTCTCCTTTGGAAAATTGCTGTATAAATGGATTCTACCAGAAATTGCCTCAAAGCTGCTATTCCTTCCTCAGGTAAAAATATAACTTAAAATCATAGTATTGACAAAACAGAAAATCCAAATTAAATTTATAATACACAACAAGATCTGAAAATCTTTACCATTCTGTTATGCAATGTCATTACAGGTTCTTTAGTGTACAGGTTTTTTACTGCATGTCCAATTAAGAAATACGTAAAATTTATTTTGAAATGGCAAGATAAAGACAACAAAGTACACAGAAGATGCTGGGACAGATATCTTGAAAGAGAAAGATTTCAATTTAACAAAAAATAATTCTATATAAATAGTTTATGTTATGCTCCCCTCAAAAAGAGTAATTAGGATCACAATTTCTAAACCTGAAACCTGAAATTTTCAGTAGAAATGCTAAATTCAACTCTTTCATTAAACAGAAACATAACACTGAATTAATCTTTCATAACTGCTACAAGTACAGCTACAGTCAGAATATCTATTTAACTGTAGCTGAGTTCAGAGACTAGCACAGCAGCAAAATTATGCTGCTGCTGTTTCATATATATCTAGTCCCAAGAAAGAGCATGCGTTGCAAGATATACCTATACTGATGAAAGCATAAGGAAGTAGCTACACACTGCAGTAGTATATTGTGTTTCAGAAAAAAAACCCCACCTACTTCATATACTAAAATAAGCTCATGAGAAATGTTCTGTGCTTTATAGCTCTCTAATAGTCTTATAGCTATTCTTACAGCTGATACTCTGTTCTTGTTTATATCCTTAAAACCATTATTACCTTTAAACAGCTTTTCCATTTACTGATGATGTGAAGGGTGCTGTTGACTCACATCACTGTGGTCAGTATTTACAAACACTGTGAGCTAACCACCACGCCCATGGCCATTCACCCAAACACACATTTTGACTTTAGAAATACCAAAGATTTACAATTTCAGCAAAGTCAGTAGCACCCAAGGCCACCAAGAATTTTCATATTTGTGTAAATGTCTAAAACCCCAAATTACATATTTAGATAAAACTTTTAGTCTTCTAGAGTACATCAACACGTTTACTCTAAATTACCAAAATTATGTTTATTAGTGAAGGTTAGGAGTGATTAATTAGGTTGGTCAGAGTCTGACTGGTGGCAGCTCACTCATGGGCCCTTCTGGTAGCAGTGGTAGGAGCTGCAGCAGAGAGGGGAAAGCACATAAGCTGCAAGAGAACTCAATAAACCCATTTTGGTAAAAAATAGCAAAGTATGACGCAAGCTACAAAACCTGATCTGAATTAACAAAAACATTGTATTGACAAGGGAGGAAAGTTAATAAAGAAATCAAAGGGTAAGGCATAGACAAGCGAAATGGATTTTGGGAATATATATCTATCATTACCATAACAAAGGCTCATAGAAGTCAAGGATAAATCAATCCCTTAAGGACTGTGATCTCCTGTCCTGATGTACTGTGCACATTTAAGTTCTATTATAATTCTATTAATAAATACCATTACTCTTATCTAGGGCAGCTGAATTTCATTCTCACCAGATAGTTAGGGGGAAAGTAATTTAGGTTAAATGCAAACTACCTTAAGAATGTAGTTATACCTGTCAAATCTAAAATGATAATACAATTCTTCACACTGACAATTGTGAGGTATGAATAAGACTCGTTTGGTCCCTTACACAGGTGATATTTTACAGCATATAAACATTCCTCACACAGTTAAGCTAGCCATGTATCATGTGAAGAGCAGACTACCCTCCAGGTAGTGTCGCTACTACTAGGACAGACTTACAGCTATCTTAATTCTACAAACAACTACATATTAACACCTTGTATCTTAAAATCTGTGATTTTAAGTGAGTGAAAAAGTACTGAAAAAAAACCCCTTTGCTTGGGGTTATTTTCTCTATAACTATTACAGTGCTTCCCAAAATCTTGAGGTATAATTAACTCAAATATACAGCTAGCATATGCAGAGGTCCTATGGTCCTGGAGATCTCAGTCTGCACTGTCTGACCTATGCAGCACTCTTTCTCTCCCATGCATGTAATATCCTCTGAAAGCCCTGTGTTGCCAACAGAGAGCACCATGTTCCCAGACATCCATATGTCCCATCTTGCTCTCTTCCTGAGCTCAGGTAACACAAAGGGAACAGGAGATGGATCTGGACTCCTGTAGGACTTCTGTGTCCTGCCCATGTCCCACCATCAGCAAAAGAGTTCCAGTGCTCTGTGTATTTGTACAGATTCACTGAAGCTAGAGAATCTCCCTTCAACTCTGTTATTGATGCCTTTGAGCTATTTTCAGGCCCTTCAAATTCCAGTTAGCCTAAAATTTCCATTGAGTACCTGCCAGACAAGACCCAGTGAATTTTAGGTAGAGCTAGGTGATGGGAATATGGTCCTTTTGGTTTTGATTTTTTTTTTTGGTTTGGTTTGGTTTTTAGATGCATACTGATTTTGGACTCTGAAAGACACATTATCCACGTGCTCC